TATGTCACAATTTTTTTATTAGGTTCTCAACACCTCAATTTGTTCCTAAAATAGCTTTCAAGTTGGGCTAGTTTTTAAAACCTTGTTAACCCCTTCCAGGATGTGTGTAGGACTGAAGTGACAACAGAATAAAAGCTGTTAGGAGTGAGTATGTATTTGTTCAAACTGTTGGACAGAAGGTTGGCTGTTGGTAGCTGTGTTTGTGCTCTGGTGTTTTTAAAGAAACACCTTTTTAGGTGCGATTACGAACCCCCGCACTCAATGAAATTTGAATGAGAAGGGTCCACAAAAGTACAGGGGTTCGTTCTGTTGGGAGAGGGTGGGTGGGTACAAATATTTGTCCATCTTTTTTGTTTGAAATTCATTAGATATAACCCTGTTCAAAGTAAGCACTTCGTTTCCTGAAACGTACAGGTATGTTTTTTTAACGAGTATACTGTAAGTAGCTGATATTTTGAGTCAGCATTTTGTAGGTTGAATGGCTTCACTGTAGTAGAAACAACATAAAGCCACTGTTGTTTGGCTTTCCTATGAAGTCACAGCTCTGTTTTTGGGTACTCAAACATACTTGTCACCTGGGGCGGACATTTTTAGTAGGCATGTTTTGTTATGACTCTGCTTCCTCCCAGCCCAAACAAAATCTGTAGTGTATAACATGGAAGGCTACATGCCTGATTGGACGTAGGTACCATTTTGAACTGCATTGTTCTTAGGAGTTGTGAGTTGAGTTTATTTCGGTCCGATTTTAGTTCGCCTTTAGCAAGCTATTCTTCCATTGGTTGGGAAAACACAACACAGTTTGAAACCTTTGGATTAACGGCTGTACCGTATACCACACTGTGACCGTATACATAAATATGGCAGCTCAACAATTCTTGAAACCTATGTCAGGTTTTTGCCTGTATTTTTTGTTTGGCTAAGTTAAAGAGAAGGTCAGAGTCTGTTGCCAGAGTGAAAGTTCTGTTCCATTGTACACATCTGAAGTGCAGCCACAAAGAGAGCTTTGATAAGACCAGGCCAACAGAAATTTTCAGGTGCTTATAAGTGGCAGGTGTCCGTTTAACTATGCATACCTGCACAGGCCCAGAACCTGGAGAACCAGTTTTGAGAGGTTAAAGTTATGAATGAAGAACTTGAGACTTTGCCTAGTGGAGCATAGCCCACAGTCTCCAGAGAAAACAAAACTTGCCCCCACAGGGGTATCATGATTCATACCAGCTGAAATCCAATACGTATGATACCTAGATGATTTTCAGCGGAAGGTGGGAAGGGTAGGATATTAGGGCAGGGGCATGGAGAGAATTCAAAAAGGTGAGTGTTCTATTGTAGTTCAGGGAGGTACATACATGGGTTAGACAGACATGTCAAGGGTTGGGGGTTGTTCCAGGTAGGAAGGGGTTGGACCTGAAAGAGTGGCACATTTTTAGAGAAAAGTGAGACACGTTTTTGGAACATACATTTGACCCAGATCAACAACACGTACAGCTAGTTCATTAAAGTGGCATTGTTAAAAATGTATTCTGACATTTTACCATCGAAAAGTTGATGTTTTGAGTACCCTTTCTATCTTGCAGAAGTCTATAATATCACATTTAGAAAGGCATCTGTTCTTGATTTGAATTCTCTGAGTGTTCTGAATGAACAATGGCAGTATTTGGGACTGACAGGAAGCAAAAGGGCAACTGTTCTACTATGTTCTACTCTGCGTTTTTACTATGAGACATATGATTGTTGACAACTTGTAACCGCAAACCATGATTTTCAGTAAGACGTAGGTTGGAAATGGATAGAACTGAAAGCACATACTTGGGAAAGAACTTTGAAGAACAACAACTTGGAGCAAGTTTAGTGCTAAATTATGTCACCTTCATAGGTTTTAACAACACCCTTGATTTTTTTAACATGCCACCCTTAATTTAAATCAAACAACAGATTTTAGTTTGGCTTTTTGTAATAAGTTGAGTAGAATGCAGTTGATTTGCAAAACTGTGATTACTGATTATGAATTTTTTACCCTGCAAAGTTGTCAACTGTTTTGACTGCAATAACTTCAAATCACAGGTTGCTGCTTGGTATTTCAAAACCCGGTCTGTTACTCTTGTAAACGCGCCTTACTTAGAGGAAGGATGCTACTGGAAGTTGGGTTTTTAACTGTACTGTGACTGTGTGAGTGTGGGTTGAGTTGTTAGGTAGATTTGCCAGCAGAGGTGTATTGCAGTACATGCTGTGGCCAGCAGATGGGGCTGGTTTCTGTAATTGAACAGGGGACTGGGGACAATATTATAATGAGCAACCATGGCAACCGTTGTAATGCGATAGACATTAGTATACACCGGAGGGAAATGTCAGTCTGATATGTAGCTCGTTATACATGTATACAGTTGATAACAATGATAACTCTCAATAAAGTACAAACAGAAGTACATACATGTAATATCCGTTAATCTTTGTTATCATGGTTAAATTCAATGAAAGCAAGCATAACTAGCTCATGCCGTGCTTTGTATGAAGTCAAGAAAGCAATAAGGTGACAAAATCTCACATATTTCTTCATTACTAGATACACAAAGCATGGGGTTCTTCTTGTGCATTTTGTCCATATGAAGTGGCATAAGCATTTTGTGTGATCCTTGATGCATCTATTGTTATGTTCTTTGTGTTAGAATTATCTATTTTAGAGACAAAAATACTGTCTCCAATTTTGGTTGTAAATAGGACAACATGGCCGTCTGCTCCATGGCTGCTTGGCTGGTATTGGTGGATCCCAGGCATCCCACAATTCTCTGGTTCAGCCCCCATAACATGTACCCTTTACCATAGCAGTACCAGTGCCTGTGTGACTTGAGGGGAATAGTTTCTGGTGCTGTGCTAGTATTAGTACTAGGAGTTGCTTCACATTGGGCAGAAGTTGATAACAGTTGGCAAGCCAGTGTTGTAATTGTCAGTGTTGATTGCCCAGCTCTGGATTTGGTTTGGAATTCTGGAGTGTTGCACGATGACGTCCGTCATTAGAAGTTAACGGAGACAGTCCTGAATGTTTCATGCGCACGCTTTTCGAGTTTTTTTAATGCCTGGCTCGTCCTCACGACCAATCTTTCCCCAAAATGAATTCCATATTCATCGCGCCACATAATCAATGTCTATTAGATAAAACCTGGGCCCTGGAAACCGTCGCGATGGGGTGGTCCGGGCATCAGTGGCATACTCCCGTGCAGTTTTACGACCGTGCCTCCCAGCCCTTCGGGTCTTATGTTTCATTAAAACAAGTTGCTCCGGAATGCATGATGTGAAAATCTCAGGACACATACTTGGACTGAAGAATGTCTCTTGTTTGCCTGTAAGTGGCAGAATAAATCTGTTGGTTGGCAGCCCTTTCGGAGAAGGGTCTGATTTGAGTGGACTGTCGGGACAGCCCCGGCTAGCTAGCAAATTGCGTGGCCCCCTTGATTTTTATGAAAGTTGTTGTCTGAGGTGGTGGGGAAGATTTGTCAGGATTCGCCGTATTGATTGCAATAATGGCAATAATGGCGCGCTCTTGAAAGCGGGGGCTATTACGGCTAAATATTGCATATTAGTCGGTTACAAATGCACCAGATTCATCTCGAGCGCGGGTCTTGTGAGATGGATCGTTAAGATGAGTAGTTAACGGGCAAATGAAAGGTGCTCGAGCAGAATGTGAATTCATTACTTAGCTGTAACATCGAGAGATTGTCCTCCGTGGAAGACTTTTTCTGTACGACATCCAAAATTACGGAACTCCCCTTCCTAGTTGTATTTCCCCCCAAGTTTGGGCCGAAAATCGATAGCCTTTCATACCCATTTCTCTTCTAAGAAAGGGCTTAACTCATGTGACAGCTCAGAATGTTTTAAAGCAATTACCAAGAGATGCTTTAAGGGAGGGAAATCGATCCACGAACGTTTCGGGGACACAGCTGCATTTGCAAGGGTATTTGGGAGTGGAGCATATCTATGTGGAAACAGATAGTTCAGAGGCTTTTCGAAGTGTACTTACTTGATATGCTCTACATGGAAGTCACGCAGCGCGCGGATGGAGTACACAAATCGATTGCCGTTGCATATTCATCCATTAACAAACAGCTTTTAACATGCCTTGATAGTGCAGCAATAATTCAAAGTTTCTGACTCCGCGCCGAGAAAATCAATCTGGGTCTTATCTGCGAGAAATTGCATCTGCGAACTTGGAGATGAAGTTGCGATGAAAATGGCCTGATTGGCAAGGAAACAAGGGGGCACATATTTCAACGGGCTTTAAACGAACGATCGATTCTCATTCCTCCATGGGCGAAATGAGGAATAGAGCGAGCTCATCTTCGTATAGTGTATTATTTATGGCTTGCCTAAAACAGACGCAAGGAATTTCACAGACCCACGGACAGTGAACATAAAATTCAAATGCAAACGACGTGCTTACTTCTAATCGATACTGCTCCTTAAATAGTTCCAGCCTTGCCTTCCCATTTTCACTAATCATTTTCGAAATATGACGGACCGCGGTTGTCCGAATGATTCATTCCCGTCTTGCGTTTACTCTATCGATCGGGAAAAATTGCACACGCAGGCAGAATCACGCTGTCAATTTTCAGCCGCTGTCTGATTGGGTCCCCAACAGTGTAGCAGAATAGAATACTAAATCACTAAAGAACCAATCGCACTCATATATGAAGTTATTATGTCAGCGGCACTGCCATTTTGGGAACATTTGCAAGATGTTCTTGCCCTGAATGATCACCCGGGTGTCTGCTCTCCTCTCCCAAGCAATTTGCGCTGTTCGGGGCGTGGGTCTTCCCTGGGTTCAAGTTGTTGATTGTGAAGTGTGAACATGCAGCGCCTCGTCCAAGTTCAACCAGCCTGTTGGGGGATCCTTCCCGTGTACCGTGTTTCCCAGCCAGGTACTCAGTCTAGGTAGTAACTGCCATCTTTGCCATGTTCTTCCTGTATTGGAGAGTGAGTCTAACCTTGTCTTCTCTTGTTTGTTGCAGGAAATACAAGCGTCACACTGGAGGGCGAGGTCGGGAGCGAGGCACTACGAGACGCCCACGTCTGTGGCAAATGTCGCGCCGAGTTCCTCATCTTGGCCGACTTCTTGCATCACAAGAAAGCCTGCACCAATAAACGAATCGTCCTGATTTTCGACGATGATGAAGTAGTCTGTGAGGAGAATGAGGAAGCTTTCGAAAAGATGCAAGTCAGCCAACCCGACGTGGAAGATGACACTGGCAGCCCGACCGGCTGCAGCCCCAGACCGACCGCCACGAGTCCCACCAACGACGGCAGCAAGGCACAAGACATGAGCAGTATCAGGTCATCTTCTCAAAACACACCATTCCTACCTCAAGAAGGAGATTCAGCTCGCCTTAGTCGCGACATCCCTCTCACGAACGTGGCTCTAGAAAGCCTGGATATGACAAGGGTGGCAGTGGCCCAGTTCGGCCACGATCCGCCTGCAGGGGACCTCGGGTCCATCCAGGAACAGCTGGGAGTTCTCCAGCAGCAGCAGCTGCATCAGCTACAACTGATCCAGCAGATTCAACAACACCTTGCCCTCTACATTCCAAACCTACCCCTTCCCCCCCTCCCGCCATTGCCAAATCCCCTCACCTCCAACGCGCTGACCTCGGCGCTGACAACGTTGTCAAATACGCTGTCGTCCTCAGTTGGCCTCCCGCGACCATTCCCGATGCCGCTGACTCCGGTGTCAGCCCCCCCACCGCTGCCAGCCCTGACGTCAGCCCCGCCCAGTTCCGGACCACAACCCCTGCCGCCCCTGAGCACACCCCTCGGCCAATCCTCCCCACAGCCGTCCCCACTATCAAGCAGCAGTAACCCTCCTCCAACCACCAGCTCGCCGCCAATCACTTCCACGGAGAGTATCCTGCCCCACCCTCCAGGGCTGGCACCACACCCTCTAGGTCTGCTCCAACAGCACACCAACGGGCTGCAGAACTCTCTCCTGCCCCCACAACCACCCAACTCTTCTGCACCCTTCATGCCGATGGACTTCATGCTACGTCATCGCAAAGGCAAGCCGCCAAATGTCGGAGTCTTCGACACCAAGCCCGGCTCGGAAGACCCCTTCTTCAAGCACAAGTGTCGCTTCTGCGGCAAGGTGTTCGGCAGCGACAGTGCGCTGCAGATCCATCTACGCTCGCACACAGGAGAGCGCCCGTTCAAGTGCAACGTGTGCGGCAACCGCTTCTCCACCAAGGGCAACCTCAAAGTCCACTTCCAGCGGCACAAGGCCAAGTACCCGCACATCAAGATGCACCCCAGCCCTGTACCCGAGTACCTGGACAAGTTTGACAAACCGGGGGCACCGTGCATCCACACACCAGCTGGGTTCGTACCCCCAGCCTCCTCATCACCCATTTCCCACCCCGTGCCCCCTCCCCTCTTCTCTCAGCCGGAGGAAGGGACAACCCCCACCCCACCCAGCTTCCCCCTGCCGCCCCTGTCCCTCCCCATCCCCCCAATGCCACGTACCCCAGAAGGACCTCACACACCCCTTCCCCTCCCGCCGAGCTCTGAAGGCATGCCAGGCCCGGCGGCTCCTGGACTCGTCCCAGCCAACCCTCCTGTCAAGAAAGAGGAAGACCCCAAGACTCCGATGTCGACGACTGCTACCGACGAGGGCAGTAAGGATGGCACAGCTGACAGCATGAGGAGTGAGAAGTCTCCAGCTCCCTCCACTCCCAGCTCCATGCCATCTCCATCCCCGGAGGCGTCGGCCACCCCGCCGACGACGGCTTTCACCCCTCTCAGCTCCACCCCGGAGCTGCCCACCAGTATTAGCCTGGCCCTGGACTTGTACCACAGGCCGGACGTGGACCTCAACAACTTCATGGAGACGGTGCGGACCCCGGAGACGTCCAAGCTACAGCAGCTGGTGGAGAACATCGAGCAGAAGCTCACAGACCCCAACCAGTGCCACCTGTGTCACCGCATCCTGTCCTGCAAGAGCGCCCTGCAGATGCACTACCGCACCCACACCGGCGAGCGGCCGTACAAGTGCCGGATCTGCAGCCGCGCCTTCACCACCAAGGGCAACCTCAAGACCCACCTGGGGGTGCACCGCGCCAAGCCCCCGCTGCGCATCCTCCACAAGTGTCCCGTCTGCCACAAGGAGTTCACCAACTCGCTTGTGCTGCAGCAGCACATCCGCATGCACACCGAGCCCGCCGACGCCAACAGCTTCCTGCCCGTAGGCAGGCCGGACGTCATACCACCTACCTCATTGGCAGCCCCTCGGCCTCCGATCGGGAATGGAGGGGAGCCGAGCGACGAAGGCTCCTCCCTCAAGGAGCCGGATAGAAACGGAGTCATGACGTCCGCCTTCGGGACGCCCATGCCGGAAGACGATGTCGGTCCCCCCACCATGATCCCCGCCACCTTCTCAGCCACACTGTCCGCCCTGGAGAACCACGTCAAGGGCCTGGACTCCAACATCACGCAGCCCCTACCCTCCAACATCAAGAGCGCCGAGTTCATCTCCAGCATGATGAGCAGCCGAGGCAGCATCCCCATGGCGGAGGAGAGCAAATCCTCGTTCGCCAGCTCTCCCGGGTCGGCCGCCGAGCTGGAGAGCCTGAGCCGAGAGGAGGAGAAGGCGCCCACTCCAAACGGGGTGTACCCCGAGGACAGCTCGGAGAAGCAGGACGCAGCTGACGACAACTCGTCCTACGACATGTCCGTGGACAGCACAGGGGCGCTGGACCTCACCCCGCGGTCCTCCTCGGCAGAGCCCGGGCCGACGACAACGACGCCGACAACAAACAGCCACCCGATGTCCCCGGTCAACGGAGGGTCCACCTCTCCCAACAGCCTCCACAACATGGAGATGGGCAACTGGTACCTCAGCACCACCTGCGACATCTGCGGCAAGACCTTCGCCTGCAGGAGCGCCCTGGAGATCCACATGAGAAGCCACACCAAGGAGAGGCCCTTCAAATGCGAGGTAGGAATGGTCCCTACCATGTCATTTACCATGTCATAAGAAACTTACGTAGACTTCAAGAGCTCCTGTGTCGTCTGACACAAGACAAAAAGAAAGAGAGAAAGAAATGGTTTATTTATGGAAAACGAACACTTCCAGCAAGCGAGGCTGAATTGTACTTCGTACAGTGGGTTTTTTAACAAGTATTCCAGCAAGTTCGGTTGGCAGCCATTCCCTTTTGATTGTTTCATATATCTTTTATCAAAAGTTTTAGGCATCCGTAGATATGACAGAAGTTGTGTTACTACATGTAACTGCACTCCAAAAAAACAGATTGGCCACCGGGCCACCGTGATATCATTAAGAATGTTTTTTTAGAATTATTCCACATCCTTGGACGTTGCAGAAGCTACGCTAACTCCATCCCAAAGAAAACGATCCATCACCCATTTTTTTTTAAGTCTGCACTCTTCTCTGCTCCGCAGAAGTTCTGAGGGACCCCTGACACGAGAAACTTATGATTAAGTAAGATAGCGCGGCGGAGAAAACGTGTGACATAGTGGCTGTCAGATCAAACCATGTTTTGTCACCGCTGTAGAAATTGAAAAGATTTTCCCAACGACAAGGGAGTAAGTGCACCATTAATCTTAGCCGTAAGAGAGGAGATAATATCCAACAACGGCCACGCAGACCTGTCACGGAAGTTTAACGTCCCCGCGTTATTATCGCTGAGGAATGGCGTAGCTTTTCGAGTGAAACCTATCAAAGAAAACATGTTGACCCGGTAGATTTTCATGATCTCCTTTCTCGTTCCGGACTACATTGTCCTTGACGGGTGTCTGTTTTCCGCGAGAAAACATTTAGAAGGAACATAACGTACTTCGTGTGGTGGTAAATTCTCAATCCCCAGCAGTCCGGTTGTGTCAACCCGAGATTTTTTCCGTAGATAGGAGAGATGAGCAATGTTAGCGCAGCGCTGCTGATTCAAATTCAATAGTCTCCATGAGCTTCTGTTGAGCCTGACAGATCTAAATTAGGCCAGCCAATTCCCAGCAAGTTGATTAAGAGTGGCCATTTGTGGTTATTTCTGATTGCAATTGCTGGTAAACTTAAGGGTAAGACCGAAGATTGGGAGTGTTCCAGACCGGCTGTTAAGGGAGGGGGATTATATCGTTCAGCATTAAAGACCAGCGAAACAGTTCGGCTCCCCTGAATTACTGCTCACGAAAAAAGCCTTCCGTATTCCTTATGTCTCGTCTTTCGAGATGTCTTAGGTTATTACTAAGTCTGTTTGGCATGGATGGAAATGTTGTAGTCGTTGTAGGACGAGTGCTTTTCCGTCATTTTTTTGCTTGATCAATTTCTAGTTTCTCATTGCTAGCCATGCCGGACACTTGATTCATTGTCGTTATGTCTCCCACATTCAGATCAAGATAGACGGCCATCTTAAGGCAGAGAACCATCTCGCTGACTTGCAGACGGTAAATTGATAATTCCTGAAAATTGAGTTTGGACTTTTTCAGTCTCGACCTTCCCTATCTTTGATGGCATACTTCTGAGAAAATTAGTCTTGAGAAAACGCCCGTAGAGCTGTTTTAGAAGCAGAGCTTGGTGTGACGTGTGTGATGAGAAACTAGTGATTTGAAGTATTGTCCAAATATGGCCAACTGTCATGGATTCAAAGCTCTGTTTGTGTGTGTGACAACATGACATTCCAACAGTCCTGCTCAAATATTTGCAACAAAGTTCAGTGTCTCCTACATTGCAAAGACTCCCTCGAAATCAGTAGACTCAAAACAAACACGAGTCTTTGATTCCGTGGTCAGTCCGTCACAAATGTGAAATACCCCTGTCCAGTCCTTTTGTGTTTGGATCATGTGAAGTTGGCCAGAGTGTGATTTTGCCGTGAGGTTTTTTTAAACAGTTTCTGGTGTGGTGTCTACCCTTTTCCAGCTCCAGTCTGCTCTTCTGATGGCACCCTTTCAAATAGTCTAACCTGTTTATGAAGTTAGCTGATGGGCTGCCAAATGTTCAAACCTTAGCACACTGAAGTAGCCATGTGGGTAACAATTATTGGTTGCTAAGTTAGGCAGCAGGGAGAAAGTTAAATGGGGACGGGTGCCAGACTATCATTAGGCCAGGAAACATTCAGAAGAGCTAATTGTAGCTGGAATAGGGTGGAAACCAGGCTATAATACAGTCCCATACCACCAGAAGGGGTGGGACTGTGGCTGTACTGTACTGTAGAAAGGGGAGGGTGGTGAGAGTTGAAACGGGACTAATTCTACCCCCCCACCCCCACCCCGACTGTGCCAGGTGTGCGAGCGTGGCTTCTCCACCCGAGGCAACCTGAAACAGCACATGCTGACTCACAAGATCCGCGACCTGCCTTCGCAGATGCTCGAGCAGCCCAGGAACAGCCAACCGCACGACGGCTCCTCCCCGCCGGCCTCATCCGGCGCCGAGCAACCCAACAACAACCACAAGCGGAGCCTGAGCGCCAACGACAGCGCCCACCCACCGGCCAAGCGCACGCCCATCAAGCACCAGTGCTACGCCTGCCAGAAGATCTTCTCATCCCACAGCGCTCTGCAGATCCATATTCGCACCCACACAGGTTTGTTTGTTTTGTCTGTTTGTTTGTTTGTTTGTTTCATGAGGATCTCCATCAGTGTTACATATTCCTCCTGCACTCCGCAAGAGAGATGACGTAAGTCACTGTGTCTAATCCAACATGGGCTTTGTCAGGAGAGGATTGCATTTCTGTCCTTACATGTACATAACCTTTCACACACTGAAGTAGCCATGTGCCTAACGATTCTCTATTGATAACTGGGTTCTCATGGCTTGTTGAGGCTTGTTTGTAAATGTATGTTTTAATGTTATCCAACTGAAAATGTCAGCTCATTAAATATAAGGTGTCTTGCATCACTCAGCTTTATAATATATATTTTTCTGAGAAATCTGGGGGTCTGTCTGCACCAGTCTGTGTTTTAGGTTTTTATTTGATCTCAAACTTGGCTTAAATTCTAAATTCTAATTCTATTGCATTCTGAACCTTGATTTTTGAGCAACAGATACTAACAGGGAAACCTTAAAAATCATTTTTGATAGTTATGCAGTGAAAGTTTATGTGGCGGAAGTAATTCTGAATTTGAAAAGCAAATGACAGTTACGCCCAGTGAGAACTCATGATTTCCCACCAAAGGTTATAAGTGACGACATCATGACATCAATAATTTGTTTTTGCTGGAAGATACTTGTGCTAGCCTTGGGCACATTCCATTTGTGCTAGGTCATTCATATATGTCAAAAATAATTGCAGACAATGACAGAGTAAATCTATCTTGTGGCCTTTCCAAAATGTCAGTGAGTTCATGGCCATGTGTCAAAAAAGTGATGTTCTGCCCTCTCCAACTCAAACTTTGTCACTGTCCCCTCATTTTGCAGGACCAAAGCTGTATTGAGCACCAGTGGTTCCATGGATATGTCCCCCCTGAAACTTTGAAACACCACGTTTTGGCCACTTCCAATTGGCTTCCTCTTAATTTTACCTCTGGCAATTTTGATGAAAATGTTGATAAGATTTTATTTTTCTCCGTGAAGGCAGAAAGAACGGTTAACATCTTTGTCCTTTCGAGACGCAAATTGAAAGACACACGGAGAGAGGTCTGCATTCCATGACCGGGATGGTCTGTCAGTTGTTCTGTTTAGACACAAAGCAACAGCAGGCAGTTGATATACTGATGCATAAATGTGAAGAATATTTTAAGTGGCTACAGTTTAATGGTGCATAACAAAGTAGTGTGAGATGGGGCTTACAACTTACAAGCTGACTTTATTTAAACAGCTACCTTTTGGCAGGTTTTGTCACAAGTTCTTGTCCATCTTTTGAGTTACAAAGACTCCTTGTTGTGTTTCCCTTTTGTGTATTACTTGCCCTGATATGATAGATGTAATTAGTGTGTAGCCTTGTAGTTTTGTCAGGCAGCACTAAAATGTACCCTCTGGCACTGATTGTGAGTGAATACTCCAAGGTTGGTGATATGAAAATTGGGTGCTACATTTCAGGACAGTCAAACCACCCAGGAACCGCCTTTTTGGGTCCACTCTCTTTCAGCTGCAGCAATTAACTCTTCACACCCAAAGAAACATACACAGTGTTCGAAATACCTGCCTGCAGTCTGCAATCTGCAGATAGATTTTCAAGATTGCAGAAGAAAAAATTATACAATCTGCAATTTTGCAGAAGGAAAAATAGGCTCCAGATTCATTAGTTTTCAATTTAGCAAACTAAAACTTCCAGGCCCCAGGGGCAGGGACAGACTGTTCTGAAACAACAGGAGCTTCTTCACTAATTTGCATCATCCTTGTCTTGACTTGTCTAACTTTTGTTTCCTTTTGGACTTCCAAAAAATTGTCTTCACTAATTTGCATATTAATCCATAGTTTATGCTTATAAACCTGAAATTCTCCTGCAGTCCAGTAATGCTACTGTACAGATTTACAAAGCTATATGTGATGTAAAAAAGGAATTATTGGTTTGAGAAGGTTGTAGTATGGAGGCTTGTGTATTTGCAGAAAGGTTGTAATATGGAGGCTTGTGTATTTGCAGAAAGGTTGTAATATGGAGGCTTGTGTATTTGCAGAAAGTATTTCCAAATTGCAGAACAAAATTTTGACTCTTCTGCAATATTGCAGAGTACTGAAAAAAAGTATTTCGACCACTGATACACCTTGACTGTAAAGTTTCCGCTCCAAACGTCCGGCTGCACAGATGATGAAATGATAAGGAGTTTGGGAATATTTGAAGCGCTGTCAGTGTACTGAAGCGTGAGTAAACAGTGCGAAGATGAGACATATTCCGTTTCAGACAACAATCGCACCTCTGTAGTCTAATATTCTTAGGGACCTGTGTTTAGGAATACCTCACGGCTGGAGGACCGTACTATATTTAGTCAAAGGGACAAAAAGACAGTGAGCTTGTCTGTTGGATCATTTCAGTTGTCATGAAAATCCTTCTTAAGATCAACTTTCCGTCCAAGTTTAAGCTGATTGGAGAGTCGTTAAGGACTGTCAAGTGAAAAAGAGCAGACTTGTCGAGACAACAAAAGGACGGAGCGGCTTTCTCTGTTTTCCAGTGGAGAGTGAAGTCACCGTTTCCGACTCATTAAAACCGGGGTCACATGGTTCACATGAATTTGTCATAAAACACCATTAAGTCAAAACGGATCAATTTTTTTACGTCCTCCTGATTTCAAATGCATCAACTGGTCCGACAGGTTGCATGCTTGGGAACATTCAGGTGGTCCCTCCCGGGCAATCTTTTTGGAAGTCTTGTCAACATATGTGCATGATATCACAAGTACTGTGACTAGTTGAGCGATAGCTCTACAGAGATTTTTTACAAGATGAAACGAAAAGGGAATTTCTTGAAATGAAAAGCTTTTGACTGAATGTGAATATTTGAACATCTTCATAACATACAAATCTCTTATAAGTGATAAAAATTATTTTCACAGTGCCATTTTTTCCTCCTTTCTGTAATGACGTTTTAGAGACAATGCACTACATGAGAGCCGAATGTGTAATCTACAACCTGTGCGGCCAATTTGGCAGCGTTAATTCTATTAACACTCCGACAATGCCCCATCTCTCCTCTGAAGAAGAAATCAAGACAATTCAGTTACCATTGGAGAAACATTTGGGGCTGTAGTGGTACTGCTAAGTGTGCCCGTTAGTAAAAACATGGTGCAAAACCATTGATTTACTTGTGCACTTGGGGCGCCTGGAGTTCTGAATTTTTATGTGCGGCCTGCTGCGTGGTGGCACAGTGGATCTCTTCTGCAGATCAATTACAAGAGATTGCAGTGGCTTGTGGGAGAATTAAAAACAGCGGTACCCGTTCAGAACAGTAGGGAGAAACCACAAACCAGAGCTTGATCGTAACTGCTTACGGTAGTGTTAAGTAGTACACAGTGAGGACTCTCTTTGAACAATGGAGAAATAACACCGCACCACCTTGTTACGATCTTAGCCCCACCTCATTTTTCAAATTTTTCGTTAAAAGAATTTGTCTCTTTCTGGTTCCATTGCAACATTTTACCTTTGGCCAGATAATAAGCTGAATTAACCTGCTGCCTAACCCAGGGGCCCCATAAGGGATAGAAATTGGGTGCCAAATGGCTTTCACCAGGGTGAAGGTTAAGTACACATAGGATTAGACTGTTGTTCTGTATATGTGAGCTAGTTTTTTATTGTTGTTTTGTTGTTGTTTTGTCAGGTGACAAGCCGTATCAATGCCACGTGTGTAAGAAGGCCTTCACCACCAAGGGCAACCTCAAGGTGCACATGGGCACCCACATGTGGAACTCGGCCGGCCGGCGCGGCCGCCGCCTCTCCGTGGAGATGCCCTTCAGCCTGGTGTCCAAGGCCAACGAGCTGTTCGGCCATGCCCCGCTGGGTCCCGAGCACTTCTTCCCGTTCCCCGGCGCGCTGAGCAATGGCATCGCCTCCATGCCGAAGGCCAATGAGATCCCCGTCATCCAGAGTCACAGCAGCATGATGAACTCCTTCCCCAAGTTTGGCGCCGCCGACCACCCCCTGTACAACAACAACGACGCCCTCGACGCCGGCCCCAAGAAGAGCCCCGCCGAGATGAACGGGAACGACAGACACAACACCTGGGGGTGGAAGACCACGTGTAACGTCTGCAACGAGGTCTGCTCCTCAGCCACCGCGCTGGAGTTGCATCTAAAAACCCACACCGACATGAACAATGTCAAGGCGTGACCTGTAGGTATACAGAACTGACGATGCATTTATATAACAAAGAGAGAACAAAAATCATTTTGTGAAAAGGGGACAGAAGAACCAAAGTAGGCTGTAGAATGGACAGTAGAGGGACCAGCTATATGAGACGATAAAAAGAGAAATATATTTCCTGTTATATGGCGAGAGTATCCAGGAGGACAGATATGGAAGTTACGGAGTGTTCCTCAAACGGAAAGGGACAAGGATATGGAACCAGCACAAGGCTCCTTACCACGTTTTCTTATTTTATTTCAAACGGCAACGTGTGTTGCAGAGATCATGCTATGATAAGAATATGTAGTTTCTTCTTTTCACGTATCAACAGAGCCCGCCTGGGTGGTAAAATTGCAGTCAATATGTTACGAGAGGACGGAGTTATACTTTGCGCTAGTGGACGTAACAACAATACTTTTATTTTGTTGTAGCTAATGAAGTCAAGGGTAACCTGCTAAGAGATTGTTGTTTTTAGATGGAAATGTTACAATAAGTTAAACCAGGCGCCTGCGTATAATTATGGCAATATTTGAGATGATAAGAAATGATTGACCAATGGTTTAACCTGTAACCATTTCAGAATGTTAGTGTAGAGTAGACAGTAGAGAATTTTGTTTGACTAGATAAATATTGTTGTAATACTGATGCCCTAAAAAGACCAGTGGCTCTTTTGGCCACAGTAACATGACTGATGAAACGCTGCATATGGGGTTTGCAGTACTAATAATTCCTGACCTCTAAGGCTAGGCAAATGTGTCCCCAAAGCCTACTTCAGCTTCAGCCCATGTAGACAGGCCTCCCCAGCTTTCATAATTAACCTCCTGAGTAGGTGCATATGCTGGGGAGCCCAGTAATTCCCCATTAAGCTAGTCACCCATGCCCCGTGTACTTGTATCATAGGTAGTGCCGCTCCCGAGCGTGTGAGTGTGTGTGTACCCCATCACAGCTTTCGCAGACGGGGGGACAGTTGATTTAGCGAAGACTCCCGTTGATTGCGATATTGGCGAAATGCTCGCAATCACGTCGCAGGCTGCGGGCCCACGGCCCTGTGATTGCTGAAATTACCGGAGTTATAGTATGTGATGATACTGTTGCTGCGCCGTGATGTGCCAGAAACCATTATTGATGGGATCAATTTATAGATTGGTCAATACCTCCCCCTAATGTGCTGCCATCTTGGTCGGCAATTAATACAACCGTCTGCCAAATGAAATCACTGACTCGAAGCTTCTCACATCGTTTCATTCATAAACCATCAACTCGGATTATTTCTGTGATCCTTCTGGTTGGATATTTCTGGGTCAGGGCGCTCTTGTCGCGGGCGAAAGTCCGTGGCTGTTTCAGACAAACTTTTTTTTGTGAACCGTTGACTTCTCACAAACGCCCCGTGGTATAACCTCCGGTTATGTTGTATGTTGATAGTCGCCATGTTTGATGTGAAAGCTGAAGCTTTCGAGCAGAGCTGTTGTGATCTATGTCTTCCTTGGAAACCGAGCAGTACACTAAGTAAGATACCTCATAGCAGCTGGTCTGTTGCTTGTACGTACGTCTGACCGTCCCGGCCGCGGCGGGGAGAGATCGAAAGTCCGCTCTTGTGTTTCTTATTTCTCATCTCCATCCCGTTTTCCATTGTGTCCATTAGGCGCGGAATCCGTTATCGAGAAGTCCCCTTGTCCGTCATAATGAAAATGTGCTCCCTTCATACCCGTGATAAGTATTTAATGAACTTGTCGACACACCTGCTGCTCAACAATTACTCGCAGGTGATGAGAGGAACGCCGGAGAGAGGGCGCCGGCTCGCAGATAATTTGCTCTCTGATTGTGAATCCCCCACCTCTATTTCCTGTAATATGAGCCCACTTTGTGCGTACCAGATAGATACAGTCCTCGAGACTTCCCAGTTAAGAAGCAGTTGTGTTGTTAGAGACCCTGGACCTCGCGAGGCCAGCTGGTCAGTCATTGTGTTGCAGTACCCAGTCATGTAACTGTCCGACCGTCATTTGTACATTTCTATGAACCATGTGTGTTAGTATGTATCATTAATAATTTATCGTTGTGTACTTGTTGTTACGAAAAAACTTACTTGTATTTCTAGAGGAGACATTTTATGAACTTTTTTGTTAGCCTGTCGTATTTTTTATCTTTAATATTTTCTGACAAAAGTCCAAGGTGTTTTGCAGAGCAGGTGTACCAAAGGAACATTTTGGTGATCTAATACTTGTCAAGTTCTTGTGTGGTATGGGGACTGATTTGGGAACCCGCTCTTGCAAAGCAACATGGAAAGTTTTTGGTTATACTTATAAGATTTTGTATTTATGTTTCTTTCGTCCGTTAAGCGCGGTAGTTGTAGTACACTGCCTTGGATAAAGTCGCTCGCGCTGGCCGTCGGATTGACACATCCCAGAGACGCCGTGGTCCGCATTAACCAATTAAGCCGCACGGTATGATTTATACAACACTTGAGTACTGAGCTCTTGATAGAACTTTCCTTCTGATTAAGAGTATCGATTGGACGATCGATGCGATGGAAAGGAATCGGCCTTCCAGCGAGCGGCCGCCTGCGGATGTGCTCATCTGACGGTCCATATCTATTTTTAACTTTCAGGATGAGGCGGGATTAAAAGCCAGCAACATCTAAATGGGATGGCTTTATAGTCATGAATGTGGATGTTAAGTGGGCTGGCAATTACCAATGCAATCATTTTCTTCCATACTGCAGTGTGCTTCCCTTGTTCATAGTTGTAGTGGAGTAGTGTATTGTATAAATATACAGTGAAGTGTGTAAGACCCTGTGTATACCAGACATTTTTGTAGTCACGTCATATTAAGACAAATGTAACCTTGGCATTTCCAGTCATCAATGGGAAAGAGCTATTTTTGTATTTGGCTGTCACTTGGATATGCCTGTGTTTGATATTTGCCATTTGTACCTTTAGACCATTCCATGAGATCATACTTGTAAGGTGCTGTAGACTAAGCAGATATTTTGTCATACGGAACAGAATAAAAACCCATGTACCTTTTGTGATGTCTTGGATTTGTTTTTGTCTCCTGTGTGTGTGTGTGTGCTGGAGTGGATTTGAATAATTGATGAGGAGGGAGTGTGATGGTTCTATTATACCGTCTGGGGCCGCACGGAGGCAATCAAAGCGAGCAGTACATCACTTCCCGTGGTGAGGAAATTGGGTGGGAGTGACACCTGGCATCTGTTGCCCTACACGGGTTAGGCACGCCTCCTGGCGGTAATGTTAGCAGCTGCAGGTCATGAGCTGACGGGTTAGACTAGCTATACATGTAGATTAGACCGCTACGAGTATCATGAATGATGAATGGTAATACTAAAAAGGTGACCATTGCAGGCGTTTTTATAAGAGACTGAATTTATATCTGGGCTTTTCAGAAAAAAATGAAACAGTTGAAATGATATGAAAGTAACGGAAAGAGGACGTATCCTCTCCACGCCTCACGAAGTTTAAAGTCAATTGGTTCAAACAACGGAGGGATTCAATCTAAGTCAATGATGATATATGTAAGTCAATCGCCACCAATGAAGTTGACGTTATTTTTTTAACGATGTTTAAACTTCGAGAATTATACTAACGTTAATGTAAACTCAGAAAGAAAGCTATGAATGGCCGTTGAAGAAAAAGATAAAGTGACCGTTGTATTCACGTAAATCTAAGTTGGGGCAAAGTATGTATCGTCACGAAAGACATTCGTGGGTTGATATCATATGCGATAACCAGATCGGTTACAATCCTACGAAATTTCGTGCTTCATTTTGCGAGATAATGAACAGTTTTGGTCGAGCAAATTCTCCTACTTAGACATGATTAACACCTGAGTGACTGATCGAAAGCTCTAAGTGAGAGATTTCTTTGTGTTGGGTCAAAGGTTTTAACTTAAAACATGTAACTACCAACACAGATGAATTTTCATAATACAATGTAGTATGATTAACACCTGTTACGGAGGAGGAACGTCAAGGAAAGACTAGACTTACACATGAACGAGAAAAACCTGATGTTCGACTACAGAGCTCTGGATCATCCAAATGTCGGTGCACTGAAAGTGATATGAGCGGCCTAAACTGGAACCTGAGCTCCTACGTGGCCGAAGACATCTACTCTACTCTACTCTACTCTGTTACGTAATACATGACTGAGATTTAGATCTTTATGCCAAATGTTTACCTAAAATAGAGGAGAGAAACATTTCTGACCTTGTTCGCGAGTACGAAACTTGTCGAATGTGTAGAATTCGAACTCGTGTCCATGGCAACCGGATAAACAACCATGATGTTCGTTGTGACGTGTTTCCATCGTCACCCGGTGTTCGAACTCTGTGGTTGTTTATCCGGTTGCCATGGACACAGGTTCGAATTCTACACATTCGACAAGTTTCGTACTCGCGAACAAGGTCAGGAAAGTTTTCTCTCTTCTTTTTTACGTAAACATTTGGCCTAAAATTGCCAATCCCTGTCATATCTTACGTAATAGGTGTTATTTTATATGTTAGTAGGGCAGTTAATTCGTCTAAACGGTTCATATCTGGCAAAATGAAGCACGAAATTTCGTAGGATTGTAACCAACCTGGTTGTCGCAAAGGTCACATAAGTTGTCAAGGTCATAGTCGTTTGTAAGGGCATCACAATCGAATTAAAATAAAAGTAAGGGCATTTTCGCACTACAGGAAGGCAGTTTAGTAAGTCTATACTTGGTGTCAATAAGATCTTTTAGTTTCTTGTGTATACAAACGCCTTGCCGTGCACATAACAATTGAAGATGCTTGTATTCACTTTTCATTGGATTAATTTGATAAGCTATCTTTGGAAGACAGAAGAAAGATGTCCAGACTATGCATGATGTACAAAATGACTAATAAACTGGTGGATGTCCCAACTACTAAGTACCTAATACCAGCCCAGAAGAGAACAAGAAATAGCCATGACTTCAAGTACCAGAGTTATCAACCAAGGATTGAGGTGTTCAAGAATTCATTCTTTCCTAGAACTATCGCAGAGTGGAACTCACTATCACCAAGTACAGTAGGGGCATTGTCAATAGATAGCTTTAAACAATGTCTAGAGCTAGAAGTTAATGGGTTAGGTGTAACAAGTCGATCGGTGTAATATAGCCAGCTGCCGCCGCGCCGCGTGCCTGAAAGCTGGTGTGTTACGTCGAAAGGCGGTTATACCGGCTATACAGATACAGAAGGGGAGACCGTTGATCATCGATATCCCTCTCTCGACTTCAGCTTTAATAGTAACTTTATGTTATACTTTACTTGCTCCCATTGTTCATTTACAGACCTCTGTTGGCTTGTATTGTTCTGAGAGTGGACATTGTCTACCGCACAGAAGGAAACAAAGACATGATGTCGACACTTCGAAAAGTGAAGACCGAGTACGACTTGAGTACTATTGGGTGTCAGTTTGAGGTAAGTGGTGATTTCGTTACAGCTTTCCACTAAGGCGGCGACTCTCATATTTCTCAAAACTTAATATAAAGGCATCCAATGCGATTTCAAGGCAGCAAAACTAAATATTCTGAACTAGAGAAGTAACATTTGCAAAGCAAATATTTTTATTTTTATATTTATATTTTTATATATTATCTTTATATTTAAGTCAATCGTATTTAAACACTTATGTAATGCGGCAGATCAATTCAGGGTCCTACGGGGACCCTGCTACTCTGTATCGTACGGTCAGAATGAAATAAACCACAATTAAAATGCATAATGTTTACCTTCGGACATGGTCTGCCCTGTTAATTTTTATTCAAACAAATTCACATACATGCACTACAAGTATATGGTGTCAAACAAGAGTAGAACAGACCATGAAATTGCAACATTATGTAACCCAACACCAGTCACCATGGTGACAGACGTCAACAAATCATGTCATTGGCCAGGTCAGAGGTTAATGTTTGGAACAGAAGAGGAAGAAACCAAGTAAAAACTAGAAAGGCCAATATTTGCTTTGGAGCAAATACAGCGATGGGTTCACCACATTTTACGACATGGCAGGGAAAGAATGAGAAACACAAGGGAAAACAATGATTTACATTGATATAACTATAATATGAAGTAACATACAACTAAAACAACAGTTGGATAGCTACTCCCTACTTTATTGGTTAGGGTTTTTAATTGCATAATGCAAACTGTTGATTTTCAAAATAAAAAAAAACGTTCATGCCCCGCATTCCAATGCTGGAGCAGAAAAGCTTGAAATACCTACCAAAACACTTGAATAAAGACATACTGTCAGTATGGAAATGCTCTGTGCAGGTGTTAATCAAGTTAAATCCCAACAGCCAATCAGCAAGAAATGCTCTGTGCAGGTGGAAATGCTCTGTGCAGGTGTTAATCAAGTTAAATCCCAACAGCCAATCAGCAAGAAGTATAGAGGAAAGCTGCATGCCTATTGGTTGATGCCCTGCATTCCATTGTGATGACTCATGCCCAGACGTGGTAAACACGGCACACTAACACAGTAATACATTTGCTATAACACAGCCAAAAAACTCAAATAAAACCATTCTAAAAGCCTGTATCACAAAAATTTAAAAAACGCCTAGGGGTATTTGCCCACTGTACCTCCATACCAAATTTCAGGACCTTAGGCCCTAAAATGAAGAAGCTGAATCCATTTAAAAAAATGGCAGGAGGAGAAGAAGAAGAAGAAGAAACATCAGAAAAAGCAATATGGGTTCACCGCCACTTCGTGGTGTGGTGAACCCATAACAATATGTTTTCCTTCGGTAAACATAATAAGGCAATCTTTGTGATATTGACACATACTGCTTCACATTAGCACATTTTAGTCAGCATTTCATACTTTGGGCTAAACTACAGAAACAAGCCCCAAGATGAGTCCTTTCTTTTATGGGTGGTACCCTGAAAATCAGCTAAGGGCCCTTCCAGTAACCATTTTCCGTCAGAATTATGGGAATTTCCGCTCCATGAGGGTCAATATACATTGGGACAGTGTGGTTTCAACTCAGTATTGTAGATAAGTGACTAGAATATTGGCTTTGAAAAATCAGGTTTCCAAGCCCTAAAAACTGCACTGGATGCCCTTGCTTCTACAGGCATATCGACATGTCAATGTGGATCCTATATCTTACCTCCTAAGTTATGTTCCCATTCCTGCTCACTGTATTGTCAGGGAGGTGGTGACTTGCTAAGCCAGTCGTCCCTGGGAAAACTGACCCGTGAGTGTGATGAGGGGACGTTGAAGGTAAGTTTAAATAGCATTTTAACAACATTTATGGCCTTTTTCATGCTTCCCACAGCCCTCTGCTAGTAATTGTGGGTTTGCAGTAGTGTCGTTAAACCATCGGGTTTGAGTAGATAGACGGTAAAACGCAGTGCATAGAATTTATATTAGTTAAGGTGGCCCGACCCTACAACTTTACTCCCCTCTTACTAAGTCCTAGTAGTCTTAGTCTCTTACACTTCCGATGTACATTGCGCTCGCTCTAACAAACCCCCTTGTTCTATCGAATTTTCCATGTTTACTCTTGCTTTGCTCTGTTTATTTGTTTGTATATTTGTTTGTTTGTTTGTTTTGTTCATATTGCTTTGTGTTCCTTCTCTCACATAGCCCGAGCAAGAGGGTGATGCGGCCAGCTCGTTTAGCGAGTAAGAACTCTTTAGTCGGGTTTAACTAACAATGTTCAGAACAGTTAGAACATGAGAGGAGGGAGGATCCCATATCTATAAAGACAGAAGCCGATATAAGCTGTGTTTTCCTACCATATATTCATGAAAACTCACTTTATGTGTTTAGGGTGGGGGTCACAAAGTGGGTTTCTGCATTCTTCCTGATGACATTTTGTCAGTCACCTACAGAACTTCTTCAGCACAGAAGCCATCTCACTCTGACTGGAAGACAACGGGAAACATTGGCAAACGATGATTACAGTTTAAAGAATTTGTTTGTTCATACATTGCTGTAACTAAAGGCCACTTTGTACATGTTGTCACTCCAGATCAGCTAACGTGAGAAGTCTGATC